TAAATTAAATGTAATGCAAGCTGTAGACCAGCTGGAATCAAATTTTACCAGGTTTGTTTAAATTTCTGAAGATAACGCACTTTTTCACCTTTTTTGTTGTTTTTTTTTTAAGCCAAACAAGATATTACTTCGTTTTTCAGTGCACTAGTTATGCACAAGTTTATAATGATTTTTTTAAAAATTAGTAATGGTCCAATCTCTTTTGTGGACCATTGGAGGAGGGGGTATCTGGGTGAAGGTTTTTAACCGCTCAGCAAACACAGCCTTGCAAGAGTCGGGATTCGAACCCTAGTCTTTGTAAGGTGGCCAAGCCGTAGCCACACAGCACTTGCTTGTAGGGAACTTGAAGTATGTCTGTGACTACAATAATGACAGCAAGGGTCAAGATTTTAAAAAGCAAAGAGGGGAAAATGTGGAGAGATAATCTGTAGAGAATCATGAACATCATGCGTTTTCTCTTAAAGCAGAATCTGTCCCAACAAAATAAAACAAATTTATCATAATACAAAAACTTAACAATAAAAAAACAAAACAAATCATACAGAAAGTTTAAGAGTTGAACATTTCTCGGTTATTTTCCACAGTACACTTAACATCTAAAATATGGATCAAAATTTGTAGTACATTGTCATTATACAAGAAAAAATTGCCAGCGAAAAAAGATTAAGATAGATTTTCTATCAACACATAAGAAAGAGCTACTGATGGAAATACCTTCCTTGGGTCGTATTGTTCATGAAATAATAACCTCATAAGAACAACGTCCTGATAAATAGGAATTTTAGTTGCCTTTATTAAATCCTCAGATGAAAATCAATCTCAATGGTTTTCCCAGCGACATAGACAAAAACGAATTTTATCTGGGGGCTTGAGGTAATTTGGCAGTTTCTCCGGAAGTCTCTGAACTTCCAAAACAAGAATCTATTAAGCTTTAGAGTTTAATATATTAAAAAATATATCAGTCCCCGAATATTGATTGATTTATATATTTTTTTATTATTTTTGTACTATTGTGGCAAGCAAGGGAAGTTTTTCTAAACGAACTTTGATGAAGAAATACTTCAGATCAACGATGACGAATTTACTACTCACTAATTTGGCAATTTCATCTATTGAACAAGACCTAGTGGGACAAAAACCTATTTCGATAAAATTATCGATAGTTTGCCGGCGAGAAAGCATGTGAGATTCACTTGTATTATCTTTTTGCGAAGTAGCAATGCTTAAATAGGGAATACACTTTTTTTCAAAATGTGAACTTATCGCTGTTTTAAAACTTTTTTTTTTTTGGAAGGCATCATGAGGAACTGCCGCTCAGGGCATCAAATACTCTAGCTACGCCACTGGGTATATATCACTTTTCACCCTCCCCCCCCCCCCCCCCCCCCCACTCTCTGCCTCGACAGTCTTCTTTACACTATCTGACTATTCATCTGCTTTTCAGTTATTTTGAAATATTATCTCTCTCTATATATATTTGCTGGTTTCTTTTTATATCCTGCTTGGCCCTCCCCTTCCCCCTTAAAAAACTTGAAATTTAAAATCAGTTGGCTCGGCCCGCTACCCCTGCCAACTATATAGGCCCCTACTTTTTACCGGTGAATTCAATTATCGGAATCACTCATTCCCACCCCACCCCATCTGTCCTACGCTTTAGGAAATAGTCCTACATATAATCTGCGAGTATTCATCGACTTTCCAGCTCTTTAAAAAAATTGTTGAAAAGCTCCTAATATGCTTTTCGAGATAAGCCTTTTTTTTTTTTATTTTTTGGCATCCTGCGCATCGAACGCTCACATATTATTTTGGTCGCCCACCCTCCCCCATTTTAACTTTATATACCCAAACATAATTTTGGTACTTGATTTTTAGTTGGGGTGAGGTGGGGTTTTAACCTCACCCCCTCCCCTCTCCTCTTTCCAAGGAAAAAACTACAGTCGCCAAATCCGCACCGAGTGACACCAGTTAGGGGGGTGACACAAGTAAAAAAAAAATGCGCTTTTGGAATAACTGATATTTATAAAAAAAAAAAAAAGACTCACTTTCAGCTGTGTATTAGCTGCATGCATATAAACGATGCTTTGATTTTTTTTACAATGTTTTTATCGAATCTATTGAAATAGTATCTAGCATCGTAATATCAGGATGCCAACCAAATAGTCACTGTTTAACAAATGACGACATTCTTCAGGCATGTGTAAATTTAGTAGAATAGGAAAGTAAATAAGCGACCATTGAGATTTCTGAAGATGATGATGTAATTTCAGAAGTTGATTGTAAAAGAGACTCTAGCCAAGATAAAGAAAATGTTACAATGAATCAGTTGAATATTATAGATTTCAATATTTTAGGGGATAGTTTCTTTTTGTCGTGTGCCAATTTCACATGAATTGCGCAGAAACTTATCGAAAGCAAAAGGAAAAGTGCATTTGCACCAGTTGTTAAAAGAAGGGTTTTGATGCTTCCTATTGAGTCATCTGAATTGGAAAATTGGAAACAATGGCATCTTGCTACAAATACAATTGAAAGAATTGAGAAGGAAGTCGTTGCTATGATTGGTGTAAAGAAGAAAACCAATGGAAGGATAAATTGCACGGACCGTTTCTAGAAAATCGGAATATTTAACATTTTGTAACCATATTAACAATAGGTCTTTATTGAATATAGAATTTCCATAAGATGGTGTAACTTTTGTGTAGATAAACCCATAACCGAAAGTGTATCTATAATGTTGAAAAGTTTATAAATGTTTTAGAAAACCACGTAAAAGATATAGGTACGAGTCAAAGTTACTGTAAAGCACGTCTGTAGTTTGTTTGAAAGCACACCAGACATAGTATACACTTATCAGATTCATAAGTTATAAGATTTTAAGGGAGAAAAAGCTGGTGAAATCTACTTAGTCTTAGTATATTAACATTAATTTTTTCGTTCTAAAATAAGAGAGGCCCGGTCGTGAGGTTTGCACGCTGGACTGTCGTTCAGATTTATCGATGGTCCCGGGTTCAAACCCTGCCCGCTCCCATCCCCCGTCGTCCTGCGGGAGGTTTGGACTAGGAAGTAATTATCTTCAACTCTGAAGGAACATCCGAAAACATGTAAAACAAAACATTAAAACAAGAGAGGCGCAGCTTAAGATCTATTGCCAGATGTCTTTATTTTTTACTAGAAGGCCAAAGATACATACGAGTAGCCATACCTTTAAACTATTGACAAAGTGAAGGCTAATTACACTTTTTCTTTACCAAAAGCATAACACATTTGACAGATGAAACTTTCACAACAGGCAAATTTATTATTGATACATTTTCAAGTTTGAAATCCAGAAAAGAAAAAACATTTTAATTTAATTAAGTTTGCATTGTTGCACAACTGAACTAAATTTAAATTGCAACAATTGAATTTTGACAACCAATTAATGTAGTTAATTATAAAATATGTGTATTATGAGTATATATGATAATAGATTTTCGTAGGGAAAAGAAGGAAAATGATATTGTTTCTGTAGCTGGAGACTATTGAAATAGTGCAAACTTTTAAATACCTTGGCACTATCCTAGACAGTAAACTAAATTTTACTGCAAATACTGATTGTATCAGCAAGAAAGGGCAGCAAAGATTACAATTACTGAGAAAACTGTCCTCGTTTAAAGTTAGAGAAGGCCTTGGCTATGTTTTATCACGCTCACATCTACAATATTTTAAGTTTTAATATTACTGCCTGGTATGGCAATCTGAGCATTAAAAATAAAAATAAACTCCATAGAATCCTAAATGGTGGTGGTAAAGTCATTGGCAAAAAAACAAATCCCATTTGGGCAGATGTTTGAGACAAACATCAATAAAAAAAAGCTAAAAAGATTCTAGAAATAAAAAATCACCCTTTGGGTCAGGATTTTGTGATTTTACCATCACAAAGAGGTAGGCCTACAAGACACCAATAGCAAAGACAAACAGACACAAACACTCTTTTGTTCCCCTGGCAATCAAATCATTAAATAGAAACAATCTGATATAAACTTTTCACATGTAAATTATGAGTGAGTCTGGTGTGAATGTACATTTTGATTTTTTTTAAAGCTACATTGTTTTGTTTGGTGTATTGCACAAATTGTAAGACAAATTTCCTTACGGAGAATAAAGATTATTATTATTATTGCTAAATAAACAAACAAAAAACACGAAATTTTTAGGGGGGGGGGTTGGGGCCCCGGGTGACATCCACCCTAGCGACGCCACTGAGGAGTTCAAGTATTATATAAGACTAATAATAAATAAGAGCTTTAAATATGCATTGTTCCCACCTTTTTACCGTGTTCCGCAATTGGGACTGACCATATCACTGCCGATTTGAATGTAAAATTTAAAAATGTGTTGCAAAACTAAACAATGCATCTATTTTTATCGGAAAATGGATGGGCAATGCCTAGATACTTTTATTTTTTCCATAGGTCTAACCATTACGGAGCAAAAAAAATGAAAACTAAAAGTAGCAGCAAATTGTTCCGCAATAGTGACTCTACTAGGCATATATATCAGTTTTATTAAACTCACTCTGTCTGATACAATCGTGTACAAGCTTATTTGCCCCCCCCCCCCCCCCTTTTTTTTTTCTCCATTCTCAGATGAAGTCGAAACTTTGTCGATGAATATGCACGAATCAATAAAAAAAAAACAGTTAGTTAATTAGTGCTAATTAATTTTGTTTAATTTATAGACAAAGGGAGATATATCTTAGAGTGTTGAAAGATATGGCTTTTTTTCTTTTTTTTTTTAAAGTGTTTTAAAAAATATTTTGCTTGTTTTTTAGTGTAGTACAGCAGTCAAATAATTGTGTATAGCTAAAAAACAATAAGAGTATATGTTCTAAAACTGCCCACTGATTTGATCATATCAGAATAGTCAGTGCACTCTCCTCCTCGTGATCATATAACTAATATAATCATTGATGACTCTAAACTCTAAACTATAGTCAAAAATTAAAAACAACACAATTATAGTCTAGTTTCTTAAAGCCTTTATTTTCACAAAACTAATGACTTAAGGAAGTATATGATAATCTCTTCCAGCAAATGATTAATGAGAATCTACAAAGACTTAACATATAAAAAAAAAAGAAATGAACAAAAAAAGAAATGAACAATAAGAAGTTTGATGTATTTTGCAGCTTCTATTTATAGATCAAATAATACAGTCTTTTCAAACAAGCAAGGGAGATAATAAAAACAAGTGCACATATCCTTAAAACAATAATGGACTATATAAAAAAAAATTAAAGTGATACCAAACACAATGTAGAATAATACTAGATAAAAATAGACTGACAGAAGGACATCAAGGGATCTCTTGCGTAAAAATTGATTTAGTAATATATAAATTTACAGTGTAGTTTTTACAGAAAACAGTGTTCATACAATGACTAAGGCTTGAAACAAACTTGTGTTAGAGTTCTTTTGAAAATGAAAGTTATAAAGTATTAAAGGTACAGTAGATCAATATCATCACTGTTGATGTTAAAAACCATGTCGAATGTGACAGGGGAGGGATAATGTTAAAAAAATACAATTAACCAGTAGTGCCAACAAGCTTACTGGAATCTCCGGGAAATGGAAACAGCTAAGTATATAAAAGGGAAAAGAAGGATTTGAGGCTATCAATTCAACAGGGGTTCCAATTTGAATGTAGTAGGTCTACATTCTTTCAATACATTTTTAAAAATTAATTTGAAGCTAAAGAAAAAATATTTTTACTGTTTCAATGTTTAAGCTGATAAAACTTCATTTTATTGCTGTATTTTTATATACCTTAGTAACAGGCATCACAATCATGACAGGAACATCACATGATTGATTTTGACAATAAATGTGACTGTTACAGTAATACCACAAAATAAAATCTACAAATTTCTATTATATGGTCAAAGGCCTAAATGAAGATTCAGTTATACAGGTTTTTGTTATTTGTTGAGTCAGAGATTTTCATGACAAAATTAACCAATGTCAAGGATGCTAAATTGAACTTCAATGTTGCCAACTAAATACAAAAGAAGGGAGATAAAATTTTACAATATCTTAATGTGTGACAGTCTCCTTTAATAATATCAATTAGCAGATCCTTAGTTTTCAGATACCAAGAGTGAAAGTCTAATGAGTCCTTAACATTGAAATTATTGAGCTACAAGCGGAAGAGCTTGGAAAGTTTGATTCTGCAGTGCTAAAATATTCACACAAATTCTTATATACTTTTTAAAAAAAAATTCTTAACACTTCATTTATGTTGTACTCTGGTTACACCACAAAGCAAGCTATTATATATCTTCCCGCCATAATGAAAATCTCCAATATTTGATAAAAGGAGAAACAGAAATGTGTTACCAAAAAAAAATAAACCTTTAGAGGATTGCATTATGGGGAATTATAACTTTTAGCTTGACATATTTATCAAAAATTAAAATCAGAAACTTAAATTCAATGCAACAATACTTTTCAATGTTTTGATTGTGTTTCACTCACAAAATACATTTAGGTTGCATTAGAAGTAACAATACTAGATTACATAATACAAAGCAATAAAATGAGCATAAGCCGCAAGCTAAATTAACAAAAGGTTATGTAGCTATTGAGATTCAGAAAACTGTGAAACAAATTTTGAAGTTCAACATTTTTATATTTACAGACTAAATAATTTATTTATACCAGGCTATATAAGAATCACAATTTAATTATAAATCATTTCATTAATACAGATTACATGAGAACCTAAGGAAAAATTGCAAATTTACATTTTAAATATTCAATCAGGCGTTTTCTAAATATAACGAGTTATATATAAGGTCAGAGTTGAGGAATGTAAAGACTTAATGCATAAAAAAGACCAATAATTCAGGCACAGCTCATAACTGAACACAGGAGTACATTTATTACTTTTGGTGTAGATCACCGTTTTATGCCATGGTTACTAAAGTAAATAATATACACACATGTACCTCTGACTTTGCAAGTACCATGGGATAGAAGTCTTCTGTGGAAACGTGGCAGACTTGGTTATGGAAAATTATTTTTTTTAATATAATGGTTTACCAGCTAACAACAGGACATACTATTCCATCTAAATAACTAAAATCCCACAAACTTAGTCCTTTCACAGATACTTTTCTCACATGTGTTGTCAAACAATTTTTTTTTTCGAGAATGTCCCATATTACCCTCACCTATTATTTCAACAACCATTAACCTATGTAGCCAACACCCTGTATGGCAGCATGGGCAGTTGGGAAAAACAGCATGTTATTTTCCTATGACCTGTATGCAAAAAAACAACAAACAAACTAAACAGCTCAGAAGCAAAAAAAAAAAGTGGGCTATAGAAAATAAATGTGAAATACTTACAATGGAATTAACTGAAAATAGATACATATGAAAAAAAGATATTGTAAGTAATTACAGGTGTGACCTTTTCTTTTTACTTTATAATCTGAAAATTTTACAAACAAATTTGGTAATCCTACATATATTACAAATTGTTTCAAATGAAATTCTATTTTTTTCCTTTTTAAACGTAAGAAATTTTTAGAAATTTTATGTAGGCCTACCAATATTTGGAACCAAAATTCAATTGTATCATCTGGATATATATATATGTATATGCGCATTGATTGTTCAAATTAAATTTGCCACATCATTAATTAAACAGTGCATTATTAAATTAAATAGATGTAAAGAAAAATAGATGTTTGCTTAGGATTGTAATAAAACTTTCCCTTTTTTCCGAAGTTTAAGAATGTGAAGATGAATCCCTTAAGTAGGTATTAGTGGGGAAAAGCTAGTTAATGCTTGGATGATTCGCAATTCAAAGATAAGTCAATTGAAGGACTTGAATTATAAACATGGTGTTTGAAATGTATATCCCCCTTAGAAATTCAGTAAGTCATGCTTTTAATTGATTGTAAGTGAAGTTTTGCTTCAGTATGTCCTCATCATAGGACCCTTTTTATAGCCATCATTCATTCGCACTGTAACACACACAGAATGAAAGTAAAGATGTTGACATTTTGAAATAGGATTCATATTTATAAATGTACATATTTACAATAAATTCACATATAAAATAGTTTTAACTTAAAACAAATTTATAACAAGCACCATAATTTTTTTAAAGTAAAATATTGTAAAGTGTTTTTAATTCATGTTATACAAAACATTTGTGACATTAAGTGTGAATTGAATGCAAACAACAAAAAACATTTATGACAACAGCAACTAGGGGTCACTGAATAGAAAATTATTTACACAAAGGAGGCAATGCCAATTCTAAAGCTTGGCATCTAACAAGTTGATTCTTAAATACATTTTGTTCACAACCATTAACTCTGAATTTATTTATGACACTATTCTTGGGCATTCAGGCACAAAAGTATTAATCTCAAACACACAATACAGTGGAGTAGCTAAGGGAGAAAGGGGGATCCAAATTAGTGTCCGAAATTAACAATAAATTTATTTACATTAAATATTTATGTCACTGCCATGTAATCTTGCTATTCATGTTGCTATGTACGTTAATGACCCTGTTGCATGCATTCCCCACATTAGACATAGATTTATTATGTACATTATCTCATGTCATTTTGTCGAATGTCAAAATCCAGGGGCCCCTAGAGAGGCCAACTCCCCTAGGGTCCCAAAATCCCTAGCTTCGCCACTGCAATACAGTACAGTTGAAAGTGTCAACTTTATTATGTTTACCAAGACCATTAAAACTGAGAACTCTCTGGAAATAAATGATAACAATGCAAGTCAGATAACTATGCATAACAGATTGTCTCCTACATAGACCTATCTTTGAGGATTGACTGGATATCAGAAAAAGAACCTAAATCGACCACCGTAGGAGACAAAGGTTATGTCTGCGCTGGATAAGGCAGAATTTGTAGATCACAACTAGGACTGCGGAGCCATGTGCACTCCTCCGTAATCTTCAGACTCGAAGACAAGCCTTATTATTATCATCTCTATGTCAAAAAAATGCAACAAACAACTTAAGCAAAAGGGGCAAACATCTTCTAGAAGAAGCAAATCACTCTTGGAAGGTGGGCAAAGATTTCTTGGTGAATGAAGAGAAAAACAAAACAACTTGGCGCATGAGATGTGGATTAAGTAGATCTACCAGTAGTAGTGTACAAGTTGGAAGAAATGTTCTTTCTTACAGTGTTATTAGTAAGTGTATATGGGACTGGAATTCTCAATAACTATTTGATGAGGAATGTTGCTATGATTTGCATTTCTCGTGGGTCATGAAAATAATAGTTCTATTCAACAAGTTTCAAAAATTAGATTATTGAAGCACTGATATCAGGTATAATTAAATCTAAAAATGATTTATTTCAGCAGTATATATAATATACACATATTCTTTAAAAAGAAAAAGTAAGCTTATCGCATATAATGTGTAAATAATGTTTATATTAAAAAAAAAGTATTTATCTATCAAATCTGCTGCATAAAAAATATTGTTGGATTTGAAAATGTGGCAAAATACTTGATTCCGAACCAATCGCAAATATCCTATGATATTATTTTATCTACATATGAATGAACAATACCCACAGTGTACAGTCACACAATAAATCCTTCTATTGTAAGGAGAATATGGAAAACACAAATACAATAAAATGTCTAAACTGGGCTGGATTGTATACCCTTCTGAACTTCTGTGAAAATAGAAACCAAATTGTCTAAACCAAACAAATATCCATCTTCATGGTTGCCCTCCTGCCACTGGTTCCTATGGTTTATTGTGACTCCTGTGGGAAGTGGCTCAGTTTTGCCGAAATCAATCATCCAAACACCAACATTATTGTCTGCATCATGAACAAATAATAATGAACTGCCAATGACCTGTGAAAAAAAAAACTATAAATGTAACAATTTGAACAAAACAAATATTATACTTAAATGGATCAATTTTAACATTAAAATTAACAGAGCAATTAGAGATAAACAATAATGTTAAGTAGTAAAAAAAATCCTATCAAAACATAATTGTTGGTGATATTTTTGTAAAATAATTATAAGCACAAAAAAAGCACAGAATCAAATCTAACAAAGTTAATATAAGTAAAAAGTAAATAATTCAATACCTCATGGGATGAAAAGAATTCTGATGATTCCTGAGTTGTCATAATGTCCTTTAATCTTCTGATATATTTATCCTGAAAGATCAGAAGGCATTGGTTCATTACTCAAAATTATCTAAGATTAAAAATTGGCTGAAATGTTTTCTTGATTAGTCTACACATTTTTTTTCTTTCTTTTGTATACAATATATGCTATTCTTGTTTTGAGACTGGTACAGAATAATCTGCTGCAATTTGTTCTCAATGTAAGTTATGTAGTTAAAAGTCAATGTGTTATACACCTTAAAACTAGTAGAGAAATAGTATTTAAAGCTATTACATTTTAACTGAATTCACAAGTCGATAAATCTCCTCATATTTGTAGTATAAAGACAAAAAAGGATGTCAGAAAGGATTGTTAACTAAAAATATATGGACAATGAATTACCAGAATACATTGTTGGTGTGGAAATTAAATAATCAACACTAATTCAATTGCATCAGGTCTCGAAAAAAAATTAAAGTGAAAAAAAAAATTATATATGTTATTAAGCCCAGCCCAAAAATGTTCAAACTCACCAATATACATTCATTATCACCAACAAATGACTTGAGGATGTCAAAAACATTTTCTCTTGTTTTTGTCTTTTTAAAATCTTTACTTGAGTTGCCATCACTCTTCTGCAAGCAAGATAAATGTAATTTTTTAAATGGTTTGTAATGACATTTATAAAAATAATAATTATTATAATAAACTACATTTAACCTAAAGTAAACAAGAAAATTTTCAACAATCTATGTCGCTCTTGGAGGAAATAATTTCCTTCAATGAAATTTCATCAAATTTTAGTTAATATTTGGTTTTGCTAGTTTCTATATTATAACAAGTAGGCTTTAGCTACCTTAATGCCTTCCACCCTGAAACCAAGTTCCACAGAGGAGCTCATCTCATCCCTCCATTGCATGTATCTCGGCTTGGTGACTGCCTTGTGTTCATTCTCCTCACTGGTTGGTGCTGTCACATCTATTTCTATCATCTTTTGATACATGTCCTACATAACATGAAAATTTAATTAATCTTCAATGAGATTATTTTTTATTACATTTTGCAAAGTTGTATGATTTGAACTCAATGTAATGCCTGACAATGTAGTCAAACTTTTCAATATGTAACATAAAGTGATCTTAGTAAATAATCAGTTCTACATGTTAACTTTCAGTCAAAGAAATGTATTCTAACAAGTTACCCAAACTTTAGGCAGGAGTGTATAGGATAACTGTGTAAAGGATTTGAACTACAGATCACTGTATTAACATGTAATATGAAACCAAATTAAAATAACTTGATATTCATGTATATGAATTTGAATAATAATGTTCATAATATATTAGCATTGCATTCAGGTCAACATAAAAGAAAAAAACAACAGAATATATCATAAAGCAAGTTTAAAACGCAAGACTAGGCAACAGAAACATTGATGATGTAGTAAATACATAGCATAGCAAATGGGGTTTCAGTGGAAAGCTCTTGAACTCTGCTGAGAGCTGAACTACAGCTAAGAAGTAAAGAGAAAGAACAATGCATATAAAAGTGAGTACTTCAAGTAAAGAAGAAAGAAAAACTTGAAAGAACAATGAAGAATTTGGCTGGTTTAAATAGGATGTGAGGTACTGCTAAGTTGAATCCTAAGAACATTTTAAAAAAAAAAGCAAAAGTGAGATAAAGCATATGAAGTATTTTGGATGTTGAGAATTACCTTTCTTAGTGAGGGGGATTTTCTAGCTTTCTGTAACTCTTCTTCTAAATATGTCCTGACTCCCATTTTGACATCCATCACACAGGGATGATTGAATGTACACAGAAGGTCTTGCAGTTGAATGAATACTAAAATTCTGAGTTAAGGAACAAACTAAACATTTAAATATCAGTAATGGAAGGAGCGGTGGCCAGAGGTTGAGTGTTTGGCTGTTAAATCAAGTCTCGAGCTCCATTCTTGGCTAATTATTGGACGCTCTTAATAAAGTTCATGACATTTGTGTGGAAGAATGAGGGAATATTGTTTTTGTGCTAGCCATATAATTCCTTTGTATAATATTGAGCACAGAAAATGGTAAATAGTACATCACATACCCATATATATGTGTAAGGTTAAAAACAGAAACTTTAAAAATTCACTCTTTTAACCATATCCAAAAGGAGTTAAGACTAAAATATATATTTAAACAGGAGACACATGGATTTTTAGTTGATTCATCTGAGACGCTCTCTGAAAACACAAAGATATTGTGCCAATATGAATAATCCCCTCGCTAATCTATTTGTATTTCTTGTAGTTCTCTGAAGACAAGTCTCCGGACTCAACCTACAATGAGACTTCCCAGACAAGTGACCCAGTATGAACCTCAACAATTCCATGACAAAGGATACACTCTCCATTTTTCTCCACGTCCCCCCTGTACTCTGGAACACAATGTTTTAGTGGGTCAGACATCAGCTTTATAAAACATGTCTGTTCTCTTGAGTCTAACTTTTTCAGCACAGAGCCAGCCTCCCCAGCATGGAAGTTGCCTGAAAGAAGATAGACAGTTTAAAACATGAATACATTCTTCATCTGTTTATAAAATGATACCTAGACATCTTCAGTTATT